TGTTTACTACTGGTGGTTGGCTTTGGTCGCAGTACCGCCACATTCTGCTCTGGAGTGTACACGCTTGTCTATGAGAAAAAGGAGTAGTGCATGAACCGAACGCAACACACGAAAATTGAACCGAGACAGTCAAACCGAACGGTTCGGACGGTTTTCATAAACCGTTCCATCCCTAATATTTAGGTATATAAACTAAAAAAATGTGCCAACATCAGCATTAATGCCTCTAAGGTTATGTTTGATAAAAAAAAAAAATGTGTTCCTTTCACACTCACTGTTTTTCATGAATTTCTTATAGCAGAACTTTTATTTTTCTTAATATATTGGGGCAAATTGGCGTTTCCTGTTATTACATTGACACTTTTGCCATCAAAATATCCATATTTTTCAAAGTATTTCACTGAGCGCCCTATAAAGGGTTAAATTCTCCGTTTAAAGCTTAAAAGTACCTGAGCCTGTGGTGATTAAACCTCCAGCAAGACAAAAACCCTAAACATTCAACCAGAGCTACAGTGGAACAGTTCAGATCAAAGCTCATCCACTGGTCCACCAATCATTCCGACGTAAATGATATCCAATCCTTTGGAAAACTGTTCTTTACAGGTGGTCACCATCCATTCTGACTGAGGTTTAACCATTTAGCTCAGAATAATAGGTAATCTAGTGTTAAACCAACAGATGCACTCTACCGAGGCACACGTTTTATTTTTTTGCTGTCATGTTTTACTTGGGGTTTGCTGTTGAAGCCAAATCAACAGTTTTATTATATCTCTGTTTGCTATCCTGTTAATACCATTAATCTTTATAATTGTGGACAAACTTTACTTCCTTATCAGCTCAAGTAAATGTTTTTTTTATTGCCTAATAAAGTAAGGCTCCTTCACTTTCAGATAAGATTAATATCTTATAGTGTGCTAATCTGTGTTCTATGCAAACATTTAGAGATTGTCAGTTATTCTATAGTCCCTTCAAAGCTTCGCAGCTGATCTGCCTAATCTCACTCTCTGACATTTGATCCTAAATGCTCTCTCCAAACCCATTCATCCCACCTCCAGCTGTTTTTTGGGGGTAGAACAATGGGATTAAAGGTGGTTCAGACTTTAAAGCTGGAGGTGGTGATGGCTCAGAATTAATTTTCCCAGACGCTCAACTACTTCCTCATGGGATGCAGGAGAAATAGGAAATGGAAGCTGACTTTCATGTTTATGTTGTATGTTTCTTCCTGTTTCAGCGCGACTGAGGAGGAGCAGCACGCTCAGTCAAAGAAAGCCTTAAAGAAACAGCAGAAGGAAGCAGAGAAAGCGGCAAAGAAGGCTGAGAAACAGGCCAAGCTGGTCAGTGTTGTTATTGCATTTTTTTACTGTTTTGATGTTTCACATCCACCTTACAGCTGTTGACAGTGTGACGTGTTATTCTGGTGGGCATTGTGGGCCCAGAGGGTTGGTGAGCCAACGGGGGGGTTAGAGTCTCTATTGTTTTCGTATTCCTGTCATTTTGTGCCATGTTTATGTCCATTCAAACAAAGTGTTGTTTTGTTGTTGAATCATCCTACATCCTACACACTAATCCTCGTATTTCAAGGGTTGTTTATGAAATAGTGTTGAGTTTGAGTCTTTATACAGTAGCCAAACAAGCAAAAACAGCGCTTCGTTGGGCTACTGTATAAAGCCTCGAACTCAACGCTATTTCTGACATTTTGAAGTGAAAAAGCTTCCTGGATGGGAAGCGAAACGTCTTCAAAATTAAAGTCTGGTGGATTATTGATTAACTTTTTGGGAATTTTTCTACACATCCACACCAGTAGCACTGATTGCTTTGGAAACTTCAGTTGCTAAAAGTTGTACTTTTTTTTTATTTTATTTTTTCATACCTTCCTTCTATGTTAATGATGTGGTCATGATGCTGTTGGCTCCCATCACTCCAAGCAGAGACTCCAGCATCCACTATCAAATTTTTTTTCTTACACAAAGCTTTATTGAACCGCTTCTAATGACAAAAAGTATGCTGCTATGTGACATCTAGGTTTTCCATGAACACCTAGATGTCTGGTTGTTCTCACCATCTTTTCTCAGCTCAGTTAACAGGACCAACCTCAGCCGAAATGTTCCTGTAGGACATTATGGTAAATGGCATGTATTTATATAG